CTCTTTCAGTTAGCAGTGAACAACATCAGGAATGGGAACTCTTAATAAACAAGTTTTATATTAATGTACTTTTTACAAGTGTTATTTTATTATCTTTTTACCATATGCTCGTTCAGCAGCTCTTTTATCAGTCCCATCAGTGATTTAATAAAAAATCCATGGCATTAATTTGATACCCAGAACAGTTTTTCTATTTGTCTGTTCAAGCCATGCTCCATGTATTCTTGGCATAAGTCTTCAAAACTGCTTTCAAGTCACCATAAACAAGATGGGAAATATTTCCCCCTTGGAATGCATAGAAGTTTCTAATGATGACATTGAATGTGCATAGTGAGTTGTGCTTACCCTCGCAGCCCCCCTGGTCTGCAGACACAGAGGGCAACAGTGAGCTCATGCATGCTGGGGCGGAAATCACTTTGCCATGGAAAGTGAGAGACATAAAGAGCGGCATCTGGCTGAGCCTAGGAAGCGAGACAGGATGCTTGCAGGCCAGGTGCCACTGTTAGCAATGGAAAAACCCAATCATAATTTGGAGTGGACAGTGTAGCTGGGTTAGCCAACACTTGTTCGTCCTTACCACCTTAACACCAGCACCTCTTGTTTCCTTGTGACATCCTATGCCCAGGACACACCCTGTAGGTTCAGGATCTGGGTCAGCAGCTGTCTGTCATAGGTGTGCTGCCTTTTGTCTTTAAAAAACATGATGTAAGAAACCATTATCTAATGTTTATCTCCCTTCTCATTTAGTGTCCTGTTCCCCTTGGCAGAAGAATGTGGTTTGTACTCTGTGAAACAGACAGGGGAGACATGCAGAGGCTTGTGCCACATCTAGCACAGCTGGGACATGGCATGTGTGTCTTTGTGTGTGTATGTGTATGCATTTTTGTGTAGTATACACACATTTATTTACTTGATTATTGCTGTGTCTGGGTCGGCGGAGCTTATTCATTGTGTAAATATGTGATGTGTGGCTAAAAACCACACATAATAAATGTCAATGCATGGTTTGTGTCATCATTTGGGGATTGATTACAGCCTCAATTATCTCACAGGGCCACAGGTGTGCCTTGTGGAGTTAATCTAACCAGTGGGTTATCTTTTTCTTGCTGTGCTGACTGTCTGTCAAGGAAGATCAGTGGGATCCAGATGTTATTTGCAGGGCAGAATCCCAACACTTCCTGAGCTTTGCTAGGCCCTCAGAGCCAAGGTAGTCCCATCTGCCGTCCTGTCTGAGAGCATGTGCCTCCCCTAGGTCATTCATACGAGCTCAGCTTCCAGGTGCCACAACATAGGCACAGTAATTGACTCAAATCAAATGCTCAAGGCTGTGGTCGAGCTTTGTTCTTCAACCCTAGTTGTAATACTTCTTCCAACACTCAGGATGTTGCTTCCTGGTTGGCCATAGTCAGAAAGAAGAGGAATGAAGAAGAAGACGAACTGAAACTTGGTAGTCTTATTATTAATTCTGGTTGCCTGATACTTTATTAATTAGTGGTGAAAGATCTTCTCTTATGAAATACCTTTAAACAGAATTTCATTATTAGTGAGGGTCATGGCTCTCACTGACAGCAGATGTTAGCTGAGAAGGCTTGCGAGCTTAAACAATGATATCTGATATTATTAATCTCATTAAAGCTATTTCCAAATCAGTGTCTCATCTATAAAATCAATTAAGCACAGCCATGACCTAAGACAGCATGTTTATCTCTAAGGAACATTTTCTGTTGCTTCCATGCTTAAATGGATTTCATGGTGATGCACATACAGTACATTTCTGATGGGTGTGTCTTTGTGAGTGTATATATGTGTTAAACATGAGCTTTTCTCTGAGGTCATGTGTTTATGGTCTTGTGATGATCACTGACAGGACCCAAGTGAGACAGGGACCCTCTGACTCCTCCCGTCAGCAGAGCGGGACCTCCCGCACTGTGAAACGTTATCCGGCATCCTCCGGGCCTATCACCTCCAATGCTTTACCCGGTGGCAATGGCTACGCTAACAGCCACGGTGGTGAGCACAGGAACTGGCACAGACACAGAAATGGGCAAAGCAGCGGGCAGCCCTCCAACACTCACAGGCTGAACAGTGACAAGCAGCTGCACGATGCAATTTTACCTGCAGGTGAGAATAAAAAACTATACATTTCTATTGCACAGTGGAAAAAGGTGTATCTTTTCTCACATTACATGCATACCTAACATTTCCACTCTCTCTAGCCACATCAAAACAAACACAACCCATTTGGATGACATTCATGCAGGATATGATATATATACACACATATCCTGTGGTGTCACTGCTGAGTGGAACATTAGTCAATGAGAAAAAAAAACTGGCAGCATCCCAGAGTGCACTTCTCTTCTCCCATTGTCCAACCACCACAAACACTATGTAGTCTGCATCATGCCAAACAGACAGACATTTGATATTAAAGGTTCTTATAGTGCATGAGTGTGTGTTTGTGTGCTGCTTGTCCACATATTCTCTGGACTCTGAGTGTCTAAGTGAGTGTGATCTTGTTTTGTTTGTACAGTAAATTCTTTCACCTTACTAACATGAGAGGCACTGAACCTTGGCGCCTCTACCCACAACACAATGAAATATAATCTTGTCTTTCGTCATTTATGTTCTCCTTTTGCTACTTCATCTTCCTCTGGTAAACTGTCCAGCGCACTCAGCTGTCTGGCGGCTAAAACGTTTCTTATTATTTAGCCCTGTACCAAGGCAACAGCTGTTCAACAACATTACACAATGCTCACTTGCACTCAAGCTGTCTTTGTCTCCTTCACACATACACACATCTAAAACACCTTCTCTCAAAGATAAAGGGCTTGGAAGCTAGCCCAATATCTAATAGTATTCTCTCCCCCATTTGCTGGCTTATAGCTCATTGCTTGTTCAGCGGCAGCTTGCCACTGGCTGGCCGTCAGCACACACCCTTGCACACTTATAAGCCTCCCTCTGCCTAGACAGGGAGTGTGTCACAGTGAGGCTGAAGAAGGAAGGATGCAGCTCCTCTCCAGATTCTCTCTGCTGCTGCTGCTCCCACTCAGCCAGGTGTGTGTGTGTTTTCCAGGGGCCAACCTCACTTCCAGCCTGGACCGCATTAAGATCGTTTTCACGCCTATGCTGTGCCGTAGGGTGTGCAGCAACGGCCACTGCTACAACAGCTGTGAGAAGGGAGAGGTTACCACTGTCTACAGTGAGACCTCACAGCAGCAGCCGTCAAAGAACCAGGGCTTCAGACTCTGTGAGTGTTGACTCCAGGCCCTCTGGCTATCCCTACATTTCTCTTTTCCTCCCTGTTACTGTTTCTTTTACTTATGTTCTGATTCTCACACACTTTTCTTGTCTCTAGACTATTTTATCATTCTTTTTTTATGGGGTGAGCTTGACAAAAACGGGTTCCCCAGTCGCATGTTGTTTGTTCTGAAGGTTCAAGGACGAGGGACAGTGGTGGAGATTAAAGCTGAGAGCTACGCTAAAACTCTCGCAATCAAAGAGAAAGAGAGACAGGGGAAAGCAGGAGAGACAGAGGTAGAGCAGATTCAAACAGGGGACTAATCCTGCCTTGCACACACATGTGGAGCTTGGTGGTCTCACTCTCCCAGCACTCAGTCCCATCTCTTTGCAGTTTACACCTTGCAGTCGGTCCCTCTGTTAACCATTTAACATGCTCCCTGGGAGAACAGGAGTGAATGGAGGAGGAGAGGGAGAGGCAGAAAGAGAGAAAGAGTAACAGCATGAACAGGATTTTATAGGGATTACATTAAACCTGCCATTTATCTGGAGGGGCTTTGCTCCAAATGCACACAGAGGTGCATTGGAAGGGAGGGGGCAGTCAGTGCCAAGAGGAGGGTCATACCCCGGCATGGTTCTTAGTTTTTTTCACCAGTTATATAGGTCCAGCTAATGCTCAGACTAATTACTGCTTGTGGAGTAGAGGTGAAAGCTGCACATACCACACACACACGTTCAAGTCCTTTCAAGTCACAGCTCACACAAATACAAACTCAAACATGCAACCAGCCTTCACATTCAACAACATTCACCACTACGTTCTAGGGGAGACCCTGGCTAATTTATGAATATATAAACAGGTTGATTTAGCAGATGTATGTGCCCTTTAATGGGGTTTTGGAACATGGCACAGATATTCCAAACACTTCAGCATCCTGGCAGAGGCCTTCAACAGGATTACTGGCACCTCCACTTCTTCCCAAGCAGTGGTTTATTTTTATGCCCTATTTTTATTTTGTCTTCATTATGTAAAAGCATAAAAGCATGCGTTAAAAAGAGATTAGTTTCCATTTAGGCTTGCATCCTGTTATTTCTTGTATGTGCGTGTTCGTTGAGGAATGTCAAGTGGACAGCAAACAGTTAGCTCATGCTGCTGTTATGTCCCCTACATGGAGCAGTAAAATCTGGTTAGATACTTATAATAGGCTCCCTTGATATGCATCCTGGGATTAGATTGGATACAAGTCTGTGTATTGAGTGGGAAGTGTGTCTGTGTGTCTGTTTGGTTGTTTAGACATTGTTCAATGGACAGACAGATAGGCAGACTGGGAGCGTGGTGTACAGAGTCACCAGTTGGTTCTTGTCTAAGAATAGTTCCTGCTTCATGCTGGGGTGGAACTGTCCTGACACAGACAAGTGCAGACCAGCATCTCACCTGAGAGGATTTAATAGCCTCATTGAGCTGATTACTTAGGCAAACTGTCTAATCATGAGAGGTCATCCTGTGTTTCTGCACACTGGAACCCTCACGGTCTCTCTCTATCTTTCCATATCATTTCCCCCTGTTTCTCTTCTGTTTTCAATCTATTCTTTGAACATTGTAATGTCCTAATCCCTTTCATTCCCAATCTATGCAAAACTTTTCTATTCTTTTCCTTCCCTCCCTCTCTTCCTCCTCCAGCCTCACTGTTGTTAATGCTATGTGACAGGGATCTCATTCCCTGCATTCCATCGAGACTGGCCAGCATCTTTATGTTCTATGTTTGCACCCTTTAGTGTGTTACTGTCTGTCTCAGTGAGACTGAGAGGATGCAGCTCACAGCATGTTTCTATCACTGGCATCTTCTTTCATCTCATAATATGTGGGCTATTTATAGCTTCAACTGTCTTGTAAAATGGTCCTCATGTTTGTAGTGTGTGTGATGCTGCTGAGCAGGAGAAGTGCTTCACTTTTTCACCCTTTGTGCCTCAGAATGCTTCTTTTTTTCTTTGTCACGGTTTCGATAGATTTTTTTTTTCAGTTAATTGTCTTTGATGTTTTGAGTTAGGAGAGGTTGGGTCAGAGTGAATACGAGCAGGCCCAGGTATCCAGGTATATAGGTTGCTGGGATGGCACCCATCCCATATGCCAAGGTAATAAGGCCAGTGAAAGGGCTGTGAAAGCAGCAATGTCAAACACCATCTGGACAGTGCCAACCTTTCCTCCTTTTCTCCCTGCAGTGAATTGCAAACTATAAATAAAAGCATAGACAGTACACACTTTGAGATTCAGTTACCTTACACGGTCAGAGGCAGTTTGCCCTCCTTTGAAATTTTGTACGAGATTTGATTGTTTGGTAATTTCTCATTTCTTTTCCTACTGCCAGTCAAGCAGCGCTCTGTGCAGATATCCCTGTACTCATCACCCTGCACAGGAATATACAGTATAATTACTGGTGTGAAGCAAAACATGCTAATAAAGGAGATGCAGCTTGAGTGGCAGTGCCATGGCTCTGCCTTCATGACAAAATTGAAACTTTATAAATAACATGTGGAATGAGGTGTCTGGTAGTGCCAAAACAGCATAACCATTGCTACCCGTTTGCAAACAAACCTTGTCCACTGGAGACTCAGCACATGCCCTTGCTATTACTACTCCTTCTGCTTCTTATTACTGGATCCTTGTGTATGATGATCCATAAAGCTGTGCAACTAAAGGTGGCTCATTGTGTTTGCTAACAAATCTCTCATTTGTAATCATCTCTTCTTCTACTTGACTATGACACGCACCCAGTTCTGTTTCTGCTTCTTGTTCCCTGCAGTCTTCTGTCAGATCCCCTGCTTAAACGGAGGCCGATGCATTGGCAGGAACCTGTGCTGGTGTCCATCAAACTCAACAGGAAAGTTTTGTCACCTGCCAGCCCCGCATCCTGTCAGACCCACCCCTCACAGACGCAAGGATACCAGCCACCACTCTATGTACACGCTGCCACTGTCCAATCAACTAGGTAATCATTTGGCATCGTGAACACTGGGAGGGCAGCCTTATCCTCCCGTTGACTTCTGTTCAGACCTTGGGGGAAATCTTCATACGTTGCTAAACAGATCCAAGACTAAATGAGTAATGCTGGGTTATGTAATGCTGGCTGAGGTTATCCAGATATTTTGGTTCTTTTCTGTTAAACATAGTCTTAATCCAGAACATTTAAGAATTATTTTACTGTTCACATCATCACATGGACATTAGTTCATGCAGTTGTCAAAACATCTCAAACCCTCAACTGTTATGAATTCCACTTGCAACATTTTGGGAACCTTGACTTACACAGTGCTAATGGAACATTTCATTTTGACAGGGGTAACTCATTCATTGCCTTAAAGATTCACTTTTGAAATATAAGCTAACGGTTTTGGGTGAGGTTTATGCTTTTGCTGATAAAGCTTGTGCTGTATGTAGCATAAGCTGCTGTGTCAAATGCGTATTATGCTTTGAGAATGACAGTGATGTTGTAATAACAGACTTCAGATCAATAAATTCCCTTTGTTTTTAAAGCACATAGGATGAAGACTATAAAAACTCAAAGGAACTGTTTAGATCCAGGTACACTTTTAGGTAGAATAGCTCGACAAATGGCACTCTTTCCTAAAACTTCCACATTTCCATCCAGTGAGAAATCTCAGTGCAATGCACACTGACTGTGTGGTCCTGTGGTTCCTCTTTGTCTGGCCTCTAACATAAGGTGCTAACTTTAACTTAAGTAAATGATTCCCTTCTGACTGAAACAGTGCCATTTGATTAAGAAGAGGGTCATGTCGATGTTTCAGTACTATATGTTTTCTTTAAACTCATGTCTTTTTATAATCACTCCAAATGAACATTATGTTAATGGAGCAATTAACCTATTTTTCAGTAAGTGTGAGCGGTCATCTTGTTTACATTGAATAAACCTGAGAAAAAACCTGCTTCCGAGTAGGTTTGAGTTTGCACAGTAAACAAAATAATCAGGCTATGAATAATACCTCCTAGGTCATCCCAGAAAGTGGATCAGGGACATTTATCTATAAACATTTTAGCGTGGCAATCATCTAACAGCCTTTCCAACTGCCATTTATTAAAGGATAAGGCTGATCATTTTCTATATTAAGAGTACACTCGCCATACAGACGCTAAAGCCGACCATGAGTTCCATCTACTCACAGTTAATCTCCATCAACCTGTCAGTCCTGGATCAGCTTATTCATCTGTGTCATAGATCTCGGTGGTTGTTTCAGAAACATTTAAAAACACATCAGTGAAGCACACCACTGCACTGGGTGACATGTTTCTTCATTAGCAAACCCCAGGCCTGAGTGTGAGGAGCTAGCTGAATGTAAACAAAGCTGAGAGCGCACACAATATCTTGCGCATGTGCAGTTGACTCTGACTCATACTTCAGGAAACTATGAACGCTCAGAGCTATTGAGGCAACATAGTCAGGGGTTTTGTAATGAAAAACATGCCACCCAGTGCAGTGGTGTGTTGCCCTGATGAGTTTTTAACCATTTTTGAACAACAACAATGGAAATCTATCACAGAAATGATCAAACTAATCCAGGACTGACAGGTGACAGACATTAACCATTAGTAGAGGTAATTCATTGTTGGCTTTAGTCTCTGTATGTACATTGCTGAAAATGCTATTAATATAGAAAGTTACCAGCCTTATCCTTTAAACTTATCTGATGTAGACTCCAGGTTGATCTGTCTCATAACTATCTCAAAACCATTCCTCTTGCGGAGTAGTTTGTACTCCATCAGTGGATGGGTAAAAAGCCAATGGAGCAGCACTGTCAGAACCATCAAGCTGGCTTGCAATTGGTCAGTTGAACTGACACTGTAAAATTGAAAATGCAAATTTTGAAACTGTAAATGCACACAAGTCGCCTCCTTGATTTTTAGCACTGTTTACTGTGTAGTGCTCTGCATGTTCCGGCCAAGAGTGCAGCTAAGGACAGAATAAGTAAGTAATGACTCAGTGGAAGCCCTCATATTGTTTATACAATGCTACATTGTTGGGGATCTAGAAACAGTGCAAGGCAGCATCATGAAGCTAAAAGAAACAATAAAAAGAGAACAATTTGTTTACCTTCCATCTCTTCTGGTATCACTTTTTTGATTTCCTCCTTGTGTCTTGCTCAGTGTTTCATCCTTTCTAACAGAAAGTAGAAGCAGAAGCTCAATTTTAGGTAATTTAAATTCCACTCAGAAATTTTTCATCCTGCTTTTTGAATTAAATCACAACATCACAATTAAATGACATAAATCCAGCATCTGTATTGTTATGTCACAACAAAGAAATTATCCTTCTTTTCTGCTTGCTTTCAAAATGTACGGCGGCAGTTTCGTGTCCAGGATTCTTGATAAGGTCTACTTCTTCTCCCTGGACTCTCCCTGACATCTGTCTGCAAGCCTATGATTCATGAAAGTCACTCAGAATTCTGGGAAAAAACCCTGGCACTCTCTGAAGATAGATTCTTCCCCTTTGTCAAAAGGACAAAAGAGCTCATTCTCCACATTGCAACATCTTCTCGGCTTCTCAACATCTCTGTTTCTGGTCTTTAAGATGATTTGATTTAAACCAGACAACCCAAAACTCCATGTGTTGTTGTCAGTTTGTAATATTGTATCTTCATTGCTGGAAATTCCCCATGTAGATCTCATAACTTTGTGTTAAAGCAAACCGTGTGTGTTGAACAAGTATGTGCAGCATGTTAGCTTAACTATTTGCCATATTGCAGTGTGTAAACTGTGCAACTTCTCTTCTCCAGTGTCTCTCCACCCATCCTTGGTGAATGTATATGTTCAGCACCCTCCAGAGGCAGAGATCCAGATCCACCAAGTAGCTCGGGTCCAGACTGAACAGAGACCAACTACCACAGAGGGGACTCACTCTGTCCAACAGCGCTCCCAACCAGGGAATGGACACGAACACACTGATGAGCAGAGCACCAGGCACCCACACACCAATGAGAATGGAAATGGTCATGACCATGCCAGACCGCAGAACCGTCAGAATGGACATGTGGGAAGATGCTTTCAGGAAACAGTTGATGGACAGGTATTATGTTAAGTCATTAGAACACATTATGTAAACTGTCATCAGTAGTTAATCGAAGCCACCTGGTGTGTTCTGATCCATCACTGGCATTGAAACCAGCGGGAGAAAGTGTGGTTCTGCCACAGGTACCATTATAGTCTGTTCTCATTCTCTCAACTCCTGTGTCTCAAACAGGAAGTGGGCCTGTGGCTGTAATTTATGTTAAGGCAAGGATTTATGAGCCCTGATCACACTGGTTATGTCATGTTCCACCAATTTCCAAACAAAGACATGTAATGAATTAGGATGTATTCAGAGGACAAAGGTTAAGTTCCAGCACATGTGGTCATCTTTGTGATTCAAGTATGGAGATTCTTCATGGTATGTATGGTACAATGCATATTGTATTGCATGTACTGCAGACTGACTGTACATATCACTGTCAGGTTACTGTCACAACAGATGTGTATTTAGAGGGAAAAATCCATCCATTATCTATACCGCTTATCCTGAAGAGAGTCACAGGGGGACTGGAGCCAATCTCAGCTGACATTGGGCGAGAGGCGGGGTGCACCCTGGACAGGTCACCGGCCTAGCACAAGGCTGACACACCCACACTCACTCCTACAAGGAATTTAGAGTCGCCAATCAACCTGAGCTGCATGTCTTTGGACTGTGGGAGGAACCTAGAGCACATGGAGAGAACCCACACAGGCATAGGGAGAACTAGAGGGAAAAATGATTTAGGAACATAAAGGACTTAAGTGGCAGTGCTTGGTTAATTTAAGGCTTAATGCAACATCTGTTTGCTAGGCTGTGAAAAGCCATTATGTTTAACTCTTAGCCTTTAAGCCTTTAGGTTTGCAGTTTTTGCCAGCATTATTCTTTCAACAAGTTTGTTTGCACTGAACTGCAGCCTCTATTCTCTCTGGTTTCACAGAGAGAGCTTGAAGTTAAATCATTCAGTTTTAGTGATTTTTCAGAACATTGGTAGAACTGCTCCAGAAAAGGGGGACACAAGAGCTTTAGTTTGCTGTTTTCCTTCTTTTCCTGCCAATATGCCAGTTTGGAGTTCTCCAGAAGAATGTCCCTTTATTTTCATAACTTTCTATTGGCCACAAGTCAAATAAGTAAGGTCTGACAGGATGTCTCTTCACAATTAGCCAAATGCCTTAATGAGGCATGCCAAGGGGTTATTAGTTGTTCTTGAACAACTGTTTATGTCCTTTTGCAGCTAACTAGTCTTCATTCCATTCCTCACAGATAGGTATACACGCACACTCTGATACAAACACACTTAGGAATTCTGCACACTCGCATTTAGATACAAACTAGCATGTATGCATAAACATGCAAGACTCATTTTCAAAACTTGTTTCTTAGATTTAACACAGATGTGTGTTTTCCCAGTGTGGCAAGCCTCTGCCAGGACTAACCAAACAGGATGATTGCTGTGGAAGTGTGGGCGCCTCCTGGGGGCTAAACAAGTGCCAGAAGTGTCCAGCCAAACCAGGTAAGTCCTCCTGACTAAAGCCAGATCTGAACATATGTTTTTTTGGTCTGTTCATTACATATTTCAATTTCTCATCTGGTCTAATTATTATGGTATTATTTTCTGATATGTTATTGGTATGTTGATCTGTTTTTATTTTTGCTCTTTTACATACATTGGATCAAATTAGAAAGACACAACTGGCCTCTGCTTTCATAGTGCTGCATAGTAAGATGTTTAGTCAGAGATGTTGTTATATTCCTTAGCAGCAGTGATTTGTTCTTGGTGGATCTTTCCAGCATTCATCACAGACCTAAACAATACTGATGACTGATGATTAGCACATAGCAGTCTTCATTCGATTCCTAAATTCTTTTGAAATGCACCCAGTTCAAAAAATTAAGATGTTTTCCCTTGTGTAAAACCAAACCAGGAAAGCAAATGAAAACACATTTTGCATGAAAATGAGAGCCTGACAGGAGTGCCACCCACCCCATGGCAGGAAAAAGCCAGCGCAGCCTTGAGTGAGAAAGTGAACAGCCTGACCAGATCTGCAGTATGTCTGAGAAACAGCAGGAGGGTGGTTGGGTGACGGCAGGCAGTGTGGGCGATGACACTTCACTCTATGGAGACTCTCACTCAGCCTGACAGCTCTGTATATTATTCAGAGGCTTTGGTTACATCCCTCCTTTGGTCCATGACTTGTCATTAAGGTCTCATGGGAAGCAGCGACAGTATGGTGGCACATGGGAACACTTATTTCCCGACACTGTTAATCATATTGCAGTCATGCCCACAGATGTCAACTTGTTGTTGAAGTCCACATGGATTGTTTAATGTCTGACTGGACCTTAATCAGAAGCAGACATCATCCTTCTCTGTCTCCTCCATCCATCATGGATGCTGAACTACAGTATTGTTTTCTCTGCTGCTCTCTATCTCTCTCGGCATACCGGATTCCTGCTCTTCCAAAGGCCCGGTCCAATCTCTTTTGGCTCCTAGATGTTGTCCTCTGAGCCCTCCTTTGAAGTTTTGAGGGGAAACAGAGTGAATTCCCAGTTTGCTCATTTTTGTGAATGTTTTGCGGGGTAACATACTGTAGGTTTGGGTCTCGGGTCATATGCAGCCAGGGAAGAAGGGATACAGAGAATGAAAGAGAGGAAAAAATGAAGTCATGTACTATGTCCCAGTAGTCTTGGAGTGAGCTTTTATAAGAGCAATACTTTGAATTCCTCCAGAGTGTTATTGTTCTCAGTTTAGACACTTGGCCCCATCTTTCACTTGCATTCCTAGAAGGATGCTTTCTTATGTATTTGACAGAAATGATATGCAACCCAGAGGCGACAGCCCCTAAAAATGATGCTGTTCTATTCATTTCATAATGAAAGGTCAGTTGATGACTTGCATTGTGGGGAAAAATCATAGATTTATTGGAGTCTCCTGTGTCTTCTGTTGAGCATATGATAGTGGTCATGAAAACCTAGTTTTAGGGTTTTATTTAGAGGTGTAATACCACCATTGATCCGTTTATAGTTAGCTATAAAAATGCACTGAGAGGAACAGTGTTGGGCTTATTACTCAAAAAATGTAATACGTTACTTGTTACTCTTTTCAAAAATTACTTTAATTACTTAAAATTACTTCACTTAGTGCTCCCTGTCAAAAGTAACTTCTGATTTTTGTGTGTATGTGAAAGAGAGCTGACGTTATGGAGGCATAAATGCCAGTGTGGCCCATCTTAGTGGGAGCCGAAACTTTTGCTGAGGATTCCTGGCCTGTAATGATATCCAGAACAAGCCGCAGTCAGCCCCGTCTTTCTGGTTCTGATGATGAGGTAAAGTCAAAAAAACAGCTCTGCCTTAGTTCTAAGTAGGATTGTAATTTCTGATGGAGACTGATGTAGAGGTGGTCAAAACCATCCTCAAGTATGAGAGCCAACCAGAGACTCTTTGAGCCAAGAGAGATTGGGAAAAGATGAGTGGACCAGGAGGAAATTTGGTTGCATAAGCACACAGCAGAAACTGACTCCACTGCATTACGAAGAGGTATTTTATAAATAAAAAGCAAAGAACTATGACAGTGTTGTTTCTGTAACTCTGCTGAATACAGATGACTACCATGACAAGATAACCAGTCCACTTAAAGACACAGCCACAACTGAAGCACTTAGACGTGAACCCTATCAACATTTATAGAAAAAAATAATTGATTAAAAAATATAAAAGACAGCCTACAACAACTGGAGAAGGAAAAAGCTACTGACTGACCACTATACTACTGCCTGCACCATGGAGAAGGCACCAAGATACACAAGGAAGGAGCCCCACTCAGACCCATTGTCAGCAGCATTAACTCCTGAGGGCTGACTCCTCAGCTGTCCATTTGCATCTGAAGGACAAGGCCAGAGAGGAGACAGTTTGAAAGAGTAGTAAAAGTGGCCATTTATGTCAAACCTAGAATGATCATCACTAAACAGAGGAGCTGGTCTATGATGAAATGTACTTACAATTCAGTCCTTTTATCTCTGCCAAGGCAATGTAACACCCATCTACACCATGATTCATGTGACCCTAATGACCCACAGGATGGCCAGGTGCACTAATGACCCAAATGTGACTTCAAGCCCCTCAAGGTGTTAATGACTCCACAGAAGCCAAATACCTGGGACTCCCCAACCATCCAGTCAGAAATGAGAAAGCCTTACAGTTGAGAGGTGAAATGTATTCAAAAGAGCTCAGTCCAGTTGCTGATTTTATCCTTGTGTATATGCTATGACTTGGATGACTAAGAATCACCATAGATTCTTAGTTTGTGACTTACGGATCGATTTCTATCAGTAATCTGAGGTTCATTAAGCCAACTGAAGGCCATTTGCTGTGGCCCAAGTCTGACCCATGTTGGCATGACTCTGTATAATTGTGCTAGCAGCCCCTTGCTCACTGTGTGTTCCACAACTAATGAAGTTCCACAAGCATTTGTCTCCCCATCTGCCATTGCTGGACGCTTCCTTTATTGTGACTCTCCCTGTTTGCAAATCTGGGAGGCTTCCCAGGGAGCCAAACCAGAGGTCTCTGGGGCCTAAAGTAACCACCACACCCGCAGGAGCCTTGGCAACTCTACCTCCTTGGGTCATCAAGATCATCATGATGTCACTGCTCTTGCACTGTCTTTGCTCCACCCTCTGTTCGACCTATGCCTGTGGGAGTTTGTCTGTTTGGTCCACCCCCACCTCTGTGTTTTTCTGCAATGATGGCACTGTTCTTCATAAGGTTTAGATCAATAAAGTCAGATGAGGCAAAGTAGAATAGGGCTCACATGAACTCATCCCTTCCAAATCTCCCATTTATTCCCCAGACATTTAATTTGATATCCATCAAGGGGCCAAAGCTTGCACCTATTGCTTTATATTAGCACTGATTGATCAAACATGAACATTTGTTAATGACCAATAAAAACCAGAGATGCAGAGCAGTGACTTTGCTTTAGAAATAGGCTGCAAGAGAACACATGCATTGGAGCAGGTCCACAGCAGCTTCCTGAGGTGATTAGATAGACATGTCACATTTCTTTGACAGTATTTGATTCACTGATGTTGACTTAGTTTTATCCCTTCACAACTAGAAGGATGGAATCTATTAGCTGGGCAGCAGTGTAGCTCATCAGGGCTAAGCAGGCCTATCCACTATGATAAATAAACCCCAGTTGAAGGTAGATGGCTATGAAATTTGTGTTGCATTTCTGAATTGGATACAAGCTAAGTTAAGCAAATTATTACTGGGGATGCCTTCTTTTGGAACCAGTCCAGGTGGTTAATGTTCCACAATGAATTGCAGATTATAGAGGAATGTGGGACTGTTTTAAATGTGTGTTTGATGCGGGTTTCTCTGCCATCAGTATCTTGGAGAAGAGCATTAAGCAAACTAGTCAAACTACAAACAGAGATGTAAAATGCATACTTTAATGAATAAAAACACTGAAGAGTATGTTCTGAGTAAAAATTTACCATTGCAGAAGAATTAAATAACGTCTTCATGAAAGCCTTTGCTGTTGGTTCACATGTACTGCAATATGATACAGGTACACAGCTGAGGCTGTTATTGATTGAACGAGTATCTTGTTGTTTGTAGATTGGTTTTATGTAAAAGTGCCTCTATATCAGCAGGATGATGTTGATTTTACTGCCATGTGGTCTAACTGATTAGCCTATGCTTCACTAGCAGGGACACATTATTTGCCAGAATGGCAAATGTGGCACATGCCAAGGAAACATTCAGTAAATGACTTTCTTCTAAACTTTTTGCTGCAATCAAGCTTTGGCTTAAAGGCTAAGAAGAGATGGCTTTGCCATCTTATAGAGACTCCAAAGACATGAAACCCTCCCTGGTGATTAAAGAGCTCTGGTTGCTGTTGGTTTTCTCTCAGCGGCACCAACTTGTCCCGTGGCGACATGTCAGAAAGTAAATTGCTGGAAAGGGTCCTGAGGATGTCTTGGCTTTGGTGTTGGTTGTTCTACTATAGTGTGGCCCCCAATGGAATGGAAAAAAAGACTGTCTTCTGTTCCCACCCTGTGGATGGCATACTACATCCCTCCTCCGTTCTCTCTCCCACGCGTTCTCAAGTTTTCCAGCCAGTTAAGGGGAGAAGCCCAACACAGACTGCCTCCCAAGCAGGTCCCTGGAGATGCTGGTGAAAGGCTCTGAGCCTTGTGATTGATGGAGCAGACCTCTCAGCTTGAGAAGAGCAGCCACCAGGCAGGAGGGTCCACAGAGGGATTGTACCAAATTAGCAATTAAAGATTTCTGTACAGCCAAGGAACCATTTGACTCTAAACTCTCTCTCTATTCTCAGCCTCCTGCCTCCCTCAGGCTTTAGTTTCTCTCTCATTCTGCATAAGCTGTCTTTTCATTTGAATACCATCAGCAGTCCCCTTTATGGAGCAAATTTTACTTTCATATTCAAAAGAGACGAGTTTTGATTTAGGGCAGCACCACTAATCAAGAAACACAAAGCGATCTGAATTACAATTTCAGGCTAGGGAGTTCAAGCAAATATTACTGAATAGTTCCCAGAGGGATGCCCAATACAACTGAATGGAGACAGACAATAAATTAGTGAGGGGTGACGAAGTCTTTTGTTGAACAGGGCAAAATGAATAGACAAAAGTGGAAGTTTCTCTGTGTACCCTCAGTGGATACAGACCAGTCTGGGTCTACAGTCTTTGTAACCAGGGGTGACACTAATGATGTGGAGCTGGAGCTCACTCTTGCAAGCCACTGCCTGTGCAACTCTAGGTTTTCTACACAAATGGCTGTAGAAACAAGCATGAAAATGGACACACCATTACAGTAAATCCTCTGAGGATACCATAATTCTTAGCTATTTGCATAACAGTGGGAATTGAGTTGTCTCGGATTTTTTGTCCAGGCACTTGTCATCTCTCCCTGAGATGAATGTTCAGAAGACATGTTTCTGACTTGGAGATACAGCAGCCTAGGATTCAGATACAAGACCCAACTACAGTGATCCATCGAAGCTTGCTCCAGATTTACAACATTAATTAATTAATCATTCAAGACTCTCTGTATGTTATGACAATCCTAGAGAAGGCAAACAGTAGTTAGGAGTGCAATTGCCAAACTCTGTATAGTGTGGCTGGTTTTTAAGCCTTACTTAGACTCAATGTAAAAATCACATTTTAAATACTGAGTCTGGTATATATAGAAGTATGCAAATGTTACCAAATGTACTTTATCTTTTTTTCAAAGAATCATTTGCTCAGATTCATGTTGAAACTGCTGCTACCAACTGCAGAGGTCCTGTCCTCCCTGTTAATAAGCTTCATTGAGACTCCACTGGGCTTTCCTTGGCATGCGCACCCTGCTGTCATTCAAACCAGACTTTCCCTGATCCTGTCACTGTAGGAGGGCATGCCCACCACTGTACCACAACAGCTCATTACTCAGAACCTTTGGAGGGCAGTAAAACCCTGACCCTGCCTGGTCCACTGGGTCACTGCAGGACCAAAACATAACTCTGCTTCCAGGACCTCACTCCCAGAAAGTCTCCATGTAACACACATTCCAGTCTCTCCTGGGAAAATGACACAAACTCATGACTGACGGTTGCGTTTTTATTAATTTAAAGGGTTGGTGTGTGTATCTGGCAAATATTGAAAATTGATGTCTTCTTTTTTTTGCCTACTGGGTGTGGAACATCAAACCTTATAGTACCAAATTCTTTCCAGTTACCAATTTGGAAAATTTCTGTTTGCTATTGCTTTTTGTCTGGTGGTTAGGTGAGTGAAGATGACAGATGGATTACATAGAGATGTGATTCTGGTGGTGCTGCTTGCCCACATTAACCATTTACATCAGACCAGAGTTCCCTTTCAGTCAACACTCTGATTTACTTGGGCTTCAGTCACAAACAGAGTGTGACGTTTCTCCCTTTTAGAGCATTCTAGCAGGGAAGGAGATATTTTCTCCATTGGCAAAGCTGTGACCATCGTTTTTTGCATGCGTCTTTTACCCTTCATTGCCATGGCAGCAGTTCAAAGAAAGGGTGTGCTTTGGTGAAATCTTATTTTTTCTGGCTATGGTAGAAATCCAAAGATTGTCATCACTGTCATTTGTTCTTATTTTTTGTGAGTGGGGAATGAAAAGACACAATGATGTGAATAGTTCATCGTTGTATTTTGTTTTTTAAATATCAGATTCTGTTTCATAGATTCAAAATTTAAGGTGCCCATTCATGGTTATGCATCTGAATAATATTTGTTGTGCACATGTTGTATGTTATTGAAAAATGTTTTAAAATCTTTGGAGAAACAACATGTTTACTGTGGTTTTATGCTAAGTACAAAAAGAATCAGTCTCCTGAAAAGTTAATACTATAAGCTGTCTAACGGTAATGTGATTTGACCATAACAGTCATGCAAAAAAAATGATGTCGTTATTCTTGATCACCCAAACACACATTTTCCCTTCAAAAGCAGAAGGTGGATCTTCTCCTTTCATCATTATATGAAGTGAACCTCTTTATTTTTGTTTAAGTCACGGCAAGACCTACTACTACTTATCATGCTGTGTCTGTGAACTAACCTGTAGAGCCTAGCTCTTTTTCTCTAGCACAGACAGAGACTTTCTCTTTGCCATATCATCATCACATTGAGTTTTCTGCATATTTGATGATGCATGCTGGGACTTAACTGGGTGCAGAATGAGTAATGACATGATGTTTTCAGGCCTGTGTCGCTTCGCTGATCATATGGCTGCACCGAGGCTTTAACAGTCACACAGTTGTATACTGCAGCATTTCTGTGAACCTCTAATGTACACACCTGAGGCACATGCAGCAGTATTTTTACTGCCCTGGCGACACAAGCAAAAACCAGTTTTGGGCCAGTCACTTTCTTGACATCTGTATATCATTCCTAGTGCATAGTTAAAGCATTAGCCTCTTGTTTAAGAGAATTTGCACTGTTGTTGATAAGAAGGTTCATGGCTGTACCATAGGCTTCCTCAATATATTTATGATGTAAGCACTTCCTTCATCTGTCCCTGGAGGCTGATGAGAATTATGCTGTAATTAATATGATTACAACTGACATCGAGTGTTATTATTAAATTCTGCTGGATGGTAGTGCTGTCTTATAAGCCCTGTTGGTGGAGGTTCTTTCCCATACACTCACTCAGAAGTCCCATGAGGCCCAGCTGTGGGTCTCCTCATTTTTTTCCCTTGCCAAGATGCTCACATCTGTAAGTTATATGGTCCCCTCCTAAAGCCGAACTCCTCTTTTCCCTCTGCAACAAAGGCAGTGCTTTGTTACACAGAGGCAGAGCACTGTAAGATCATTTTCATGTACTCTCTCTCTTTCTCTTTGCAGCTTATACAGTGATTGCGAATGGACAGGTGGAATGTTCCAAAGGGTTTAAAAAGACAAATTTCACACACTGTCAAGGTAAGCTATGAAATATGTTGAAGAATTTCTATTTATTTCAATTATATTATATGACTTATCCCTCAGCATATTTTGATAGGTAGTTTACCCATAACAAAAACATAATTTACTGTATGTTAAATAATATGGCATGAATATATAAAAACATACTCTCCATATGTGTCCATGCATACATGGACCTGTGAGGGCTTCTGTAAAAGTATTCCTTGCTGTATGTCTGGCCTCTATGGGAAACAGGTCAAGACTACAATTAGCCACTCCAGAGTTCAGCAGTCAGTAAGCACCTAGTACTGCTGTTTTAATAGACTTTTGGGGTTGTGAGTGAAGAATGGCATATAAGGCTGTGATTACAGTAAAAATGTCTCTCTGGGTGTTTTTGGAAGCTTTAGTTTCAGACCTGTTTTACTCAGCCGCCACACATGCACAAGCAGAACAAAGCTACATGAGTCCAAGCTTACTCATCCACACAGGTAGTTCCTGAACATACTGTAACATTTTCTTCCACCACAGCATCTCAGCTGTGGTTATTTGTCAACTGGCTGGCGGTTCAAGAAGCAATAACCACCCACTGTGTGAACTCTGTGAATAAATATTCCTCTTGAAAATTACAACCATTTATATTTGTTGGAGGTGTTTCTATAAAAACAACAGGAACCTATCAACGTTGGCCCAGAGACACAGGAGAAATGCACTGCTTGGTGAAACTGATGCTGACACTTCGAAAAACAAATTGTAGCTTTTCTAAGAGTCTAACTGAGCTCTGTCAATCACTTGGTTAACAGTGTCCTAATTCAAAGGGCAATGCTTCCTGAAGCATGTGCAGTTTAACAATATAATGGTCCAATAGACAGATTTGACTATGTCGGCTTCATCCCAGCAGGTTCAACGTGCTTTCTTCTCTCATGACTAATAGCCAGTTGATGTTTTCAGGTAGTGACTGTTCTGGAAAACATATTTTAATAAAACGAAGACCTGTGGACAAGGATAGCCTTGTTTTTAACAATGTTTCAACTAGCCAGCACATGTGGGAATGTATCTTTCTGTTATTAATCTTTTTCTTGTATGATTGTTTCAACATGTTGCTCCCTTTCAATTGCTTGTTTCTTGATTTCCAATACAACATAGCTGACAGCTATCTACAATATTTACTATGGCACTTTAACGTCTCTGTCCCATTCAGTCACTGCATCATTTCCAAAAATTATTATTATTATTTTCTATTTCTTGCAGCAACAAGAAGCAAAAACATTTTTTTTCTGGAGCTTTGTCATGATTATCATGTTGCTGTTCAGCTTGCCAAACTGGAGTTCCTTTTCTACACTGCATGCATTTTGTATTTAAATGAAACAGATCAGAGCTTTTCCCCTATTCTGTAAGAGGAATGGTTTACTGAGCTGGCTTTTGTGATCATTGACATCCTCATTACATTAAGATCAGATATCCCATCAGAGCCAGCTGCAGCTCACTGACTTCACAGATAATTCTTTATCTTTAGGAGCTGATCCTTAGAAACTAGCTCAGTGGAATTGGTCATTTGTTACTCTGCATGTTAGATGAATGACCCACACAGATGCATGTGCAGACTTTGTTGTGGGTGGTAAACTGGTGCGCGGGAGGGAGCAGGTCATATTACTCATACCGCACTTCAAAGGAGAAATTATGGAAGTCTTACCTAATGCTTTTGACATTTTGGACCAACTTATTATTAAAGACTACAAGAAATTTTAAAATGCTGACATTTAACATCTATGTTCTTGAATGTGAATGAG